GGGGTATTCCCAGTGTAAGTCGCAGACGATCTAGTCGGTAAATATACACTTGCGACAGGATCTGGAAGTGTCGATGGCTTGAATGACAGTGTATCACGCCTATGCAATGCGAAATCTAGTCGCAGAAAGCACGATCGCGATGGTCTCGGCGAAATGACACTTGAACCGCTGCTGGGAAGGCGGATTAAACTATGGCCAAGATGCCTCAACGGTTTGACCATCATTCTAAGCCTCCAAAATTAGGGACATTTCCCCTCAGAATCTGTGAATGGAGGAAGTACTTGAAGTATCTAGAGAATTGCACATATGGTAAGCGGGTTGATTTGATTCAAATCCAGGGATTATTGATTAAGTTTGACGTCTAATGTACCATGCTAATTCGTGCAAACCAACATTGGATCGACAGCTGGAATGGATGAGCACCTCCACTGCTGCGTGCACAGCCACGAGATGACCAGCTAGCTGGAAACCTGACTCAGCCTAGTCCAATGTGTGCGGTTGGAGATGAACACCTCGCGTACTACACCACCAAGTAGATACCACCGTGCGCGACTCAGCACAATTGCTGTCAAACGCATAAGCAGGATTCTTAACCCGGTGTTGCCAAAAACTTAATAATTAATAATGGGACGTAGGGAGTGTGTGTTACACGTTCCTTCCCACGCCACTGTGTTTATGACAACCTATCGGATCTGATACAACTTCACCGCGACAGAGGTTGCGAACATCCCACGAGGCGCATCATTAGAACACTTTATAAGGACAGCCACTTTAATTGATCGCCTCAATGCATATCAGGCTTCTATAGGAAAAAAAAACTAAATAGAACGCCAACCTTCCTCCTACTCCACCTCTGTTGTTATGGCAGTATTGCCGGCGCCAACGATGATGCTACCACTAGAATAGATTCAATAGGACGGTCTTACCATTTAAACCCTCTAAGCAGACCGATTTCATGCAGTTTTGTTTGTGGAACAATTTGACTACCGGGTCAACGAGAAATTGCGCCAAGCTACGTTTGTACCAACGACTCTCGACTAATTCGTTCAATATTACAAAAAATGTCCAGGGACTGATTCTGCTATTACACCACTGCCTTCCCGCCGAACTCATAGTACGATTCGTACTGTACGAATCGTACTATGAGTTCGGCATGATGTGTCGCCTTCAATCACGTAGAAATGTACCCCGCTTTCGCGGCAGTTGACCTTTTAAGCTTTGCAATACAAATCGGAGAGAATTTTTTTTTGGCAAGAAGATCATTATATCCAGAAGTTTATTAAAGGCTTGAGGGTGCGAAAAACGGGGTGCGTGTATTCACAAGTGCTAGTCATGCAATCACTGGTTGCCGATCAGTGGGGAGGGGCATGCGTTCATTCCACAATCGCATTCGGAACGCGCAAGACCAAACCAAGAACCAATCGGCAATACCTAGTCATGCGTTGTAGTCAGTTCTTAGTGCTGGCGATCGCTGCTGTCGTTATTTGCAGCAGCACCATTGTTGTTGCTGAGAATGTGGCTCAGAGCTCGAATTACGTGAACAACGTCAGCCCTAGTGCCACAAATGAAGGCCGACGCTATCTCAAGGGCAGCATGACAACAACCGGTCTCGATGCAGCGGACGAAGAGAGAATTGGCGCAAGTACCCCCAGTTTCAAGCAGTTGTTCGGGTTGGTCAGACTCCCCAACTTTTCGAATGCCCCTGGGATTAAGCACATTAAAGCGGTCATGCAGAAACTCGGCGCCATGCGTATTGCGAGGATGAGGAAGAGGCGCAACAATAGACCTGGGACTTACGGCTTTTAGTTACGTTTTGGAATACACAAATTTCTTTTGTGCCGCTCTGTTGAGTTCTCCTGTCCCCAACAGTTAGCAATCCCGATCACGTGCGAGACATTGATTCATAAGCGCATTGGCTGGTCGGTGTGGAGATAGTCTTACAAGTACATGTACCAGCGGCCTGTGGATGTACGCGCTCCCGCAAACCCGGCACGGTCGAACAGAAAACTCTATGTTCAGGCATATCGTAACTTACTCCCACGTATGGGTACCGGAGACCATCGCGCATGCTGACAATATCGGAAATATACCTCAGGCTCTGCTGTAAGTACTCTCAGTGTGAGCCTCAGACACTGCAACAGTGCTAGTTGTATTAGTATTTGTAATATTCTGGCGGCAGCCTGTACGAGTTGCTCTTTCACAAAGAGATGCGCTCTCTACGGTGAACGCGGTGCGTTCATCGATCGGGTAAAAGCACAGCTGCATCAATTCAGTGTAATTTACATGTACACACGTCTACTTGTATTACGCCACATGTGCAGTGTTGAAAGCTCTACACGAGCTTTGATTCGCTTTTTGCAATTCTTCCTGGAATGGTAGAAATAGTGACTCAGAATGCTTTTCAACAACGCACATGAAGCACATTCATAGCGTTAATCCTGCATATGGTATATATCAGCAATTTACAAGAACTTGCACACCGTTTTCCTGACAAAGTAAACTGCATATACTGTTGACAGGGCATATCATCGGGTACAATTCGAGGATAATTAGCCTTGCTGAGTAAGTGAAAACTTCATCCCAGCCAAAATACGATCCAGAACGCTTTAACACTCGTCCGCTGCAATCAGTGCAACAAGGTATGCATAAATGAGCATTTCATTATAGTAATCGATGCATGACGTATCGAAAAGATTGTAACATAAAGACGACAGGTTTTCTGCACTTCGGTTAATCCAACGACGCCACCGCCTTCATGGAAGCGTATAATGGTTAATAACACACCGCTGTGTGCCTCAAGACGTCGACACCACAGCGCTCCGCTCCGATCTCGATGTCGCTGTCTTTGGTACGACGGCCAAGAATAATGCGCTCTCTGCTGCTGTTGCTGCTATTGCGAACTCATCTCGTTGCCGCTGATTTTCCAGTTTGGAATGTGCTATTCTCCCAATTCTTTAGAGGGATGCTTGCGTGGGAAGTTTTTTATCGAGCCCCGTGCGGGTTGGGTCTCGCTTTAGGGACTTACGTACTTGAGCGGCTCAAGTTCAGCCACGTTAGTGCAAGACACAACCTCACGACCACGGCTCGGTATACTGAGTTGATGACTTCATGAGTGGCAATATATAATTGGGTTATTATAATTGTTAATTCCGTCCAAATTTGCCGAATTTTGGGTCTGTTTGCGGAGCGGGAGGATAATCGCCCACATACAAATCCAAGTCATTAGTAGAACCCACTTCTTTCTTATCTGTATGACCACTAGAACTAAATACTAAAAGTGAGTTAGTACACGCTTCGAAGGGAACAGCTCTGGGTTTTACGCCACAAAATGGCTTAAAGCTTGCTTGTCGTCACGAAGGAGAGATGTAAGGTTGTGCCCCCTGACCATGCTTAACTAGGGTACAGTCAACCCCCAACGTCCAGGGCCCCGATTTTGGCATTAATCGCATGTCATATTTTGAGTCACAAATACGTGCCACCATGAAAAAGGCTGTGCAAGATCGAGAGACGGCTCGATAGGCTGTAAGATTTCTTGTTAGACTTCAGGCGAGTCATGTTCCGTATGTACGCAGCTAAAATTTCTTTTCTCGATCCTTTCAAAGGATGGACGAAGCTAACAAAGTAATGGATTCTCTTTTGTCATGAGATAGAAACGAACCAGTCAACATTAAGCTTAAGACACTTTTACTACAGCATACTTGTACGCGAACGCCACTTTAATGCAACGAGTATTTCTTTGGGAAATCGAGAAATGCATCAGTCAGACAGGGCCCTAGACAGAGAAATGGTGGTTGATTTACATGCTGTCAGATTGATGTGAGAATTACGGCTCGGTTTAACCCCCCCCCCGCACTCACACGCTATTTCGCGTCCTGTCTAGCACGTAACAACTACATGTTAAAAACAGACTAAACTTATAATTTGTCAAGTCTGCCATAAGTACGCTGCCTTTTTTTGAATTGCAGGAATGTCCCAGATGTACTATGCACCAGCATGTTGTCTAATACTCCTTCCAAAAGCTAAGTAAAATGAAGTGGTTGTATATCCAACGTAACTTGGCACCCTTTCTTTCTAAAACGTACAAAAGACAAACAGATTTGGCAAACTTTGTACGGAGTCATCAATTTTGTTGCGGCTAAACATGCAAAAATATCCAGCAATCAATTGAAACGCACAATCTACACAACTGCACGTAGCCCGCGGAGAGTTTGCTGCGTTACTCCCGGTGCTGTCTTCCTCATCCGCGGCATCACTGGCACCTTCATCCTCCTCTTCTTCCTCCGCGCTGTCCTCGGCACTAGCAAGGCGACGCTTTTTTCCAAGCCCGCGCATCTGGATGTCGCGCCCAACCCGAGGACGAGGGCGCTCCTCGCCGTTCTTCCATTTCAGGTGCCAAATCTGGTGGCAAGTCAAGTTGTTGCCCGGGTAGTGATTCGGACGGACGCGATCACAGAGATAGACACTAGTACAGCAAACAGAAAGTGAATATGTGCAATTTGTAGATCTCAATCAGCGTACGTACCGCTTGTTTCCGTCGCTGCAGGCCTCACAGTAGAATCTGGTGGCACTGCGCTGCCCAACCTTCTGCTTTCGAATGGAACACACCTTACATTGGTGTTGCGGTCGTTTCCGTACTCCTTCACGGATTTGGGTCCACTCTGGGAACTCGACCAGCTTGTGCGTCGTTGCTATTGTGCTTGTGGTTTCACCTACTGCTTCCGCAGGTATTATCTATACGATAAAATACGCCAAATCAATATGTTGTATATATAGCATGACCCGATGCATACATGTTGTACATACCTCTTCGACGAAATCCGAGCTGGTGACCTGAAGGAGCTGCAGCGAATAGCGCTGCAGCCGTAGCTGATCGTGGACATCTACCCCACCCATCCAGCGATGCTAGTCACGCATTGCTGATGGGCAGGGTATGATATTCCTCTGTCCGCCAGGTAGGTGACGCCCTACAAAAATAGTAATGACAGCGTAAGTTTAGCGATTTTCAACAACAACTTCCTCAATGACCTACCGCACGTCTCGATCGCTGTACTGCTGCCAGTAGAGAGCAAGTAGACTGGGAGCCTATCCCACCACAGCATGGCCTTCAATGAAGGGCAGCACTTTGCAACAGCAACAATTGATGATCCACGAGCAACGCCTTCAGGTCGTGTAGCATGAGTTGTCACTAGCGCTGGCGGAAAACCTTTCTTGTTTTTTTGTATAGTCCCCACAGTATACACATTGCGAGACAGCAGCTGCAGCGCTAGTTGCACGGACGTATAGAACGTGTCCGTCACCACGACGTGAAAAACGCCGTCCTTCTGGGCCGGGAGCACTTTATGCAGGTTTCGCATTACTGCACTTGGACCGGAGTTTGCGTCAGCTGATAACTGTGCTGTTGATTCCCTGCCGAGTTCGTCTGAATGCTGGTCCGTTCCACAGTAGACTTCGATACTTGAATGTTGCATATACAACATAACCGAAAATCAACATACGTTAATATACAACATGTCAAACTTAACCAAAACAAAATTCTCCGCAGGGAGAGTAACAACCACTTACCGCAAGCAGTACGCCGTCTGGGCGCAACAAGTCATAAACAACTTCGTTCCCAATTTGTGGGGCTTGTCCTTCATGAATTGCCTCGTCATGTTATGGCGGCTTCGAGACGGGATCATCGCTTCGTCGAAAGCCAACACCGGCGGAACCTTGTATCCCCTCGAGAAAGTGTCCTGCAGTGTGTCCACGACCGACCGGACTTTCCAGGCGCGATCCGTCTCGGACCTGGGGTCCGTGTTATCTGTGAAATGCAGGTTCTGCATCACGCGCCCGAACCTTGCCTTTGACATGAAATTCCCGAATGTCCCCTTGGGAATAGCTCCAACCGATGTCATCGCCCAATGATCAGCGAATCGCCTCTTGTAGGGGCATAACATCCTTGCCAACAATAACCCGATGCAGTGCACAATCTCTTCAGCTCGTATTTTCTTGTGTCGCTTCGTCTCCTGTAGTAGGGCATCGTCTCTGCTCACCTCTGCATCTCGCTCGACTCGTTTGGCGTAAATCCGGTCGACACGTGCATTCAGATGCTGGTAGTAGTACCGGTTGCTCTCCGATGCTACTCTTAGCCACAGCGTTGGCGGTAAGAAAAAGAAGAACAGTTGCAGTGGCGAGTCGGCCTTCTCCAGTACAGCTTCGGTGGGCCCATAGGTCTCCTTGGATAGTCCGGGATACGGATCCGCTTGTACAGGATGCGTCGATTCGTCTAGAAGGATATACAACATCAATGAAAAGAAACCATGTTGGATATCATACATAGATAAATCGGCCACCAACGCGCCAAAATTCCACCCGTCAACTCGCATTTTCTTTAGCGCATTCTCGTCCTGCGCAAGCACAGACATCTCCTCGCCTGTCAGCGTAGCCCAGCTATCGACGGTTGCTTTCCAGTTTCGAGGTAACTTGGCTGAGGCTGCCTCCAGCCTCTCTCTTGGCTCTGTCTTTCTGGCGAGCCAAAAGTGCAGCGCCATCCAAACCTCCATCACTTTCATCCGAATCCTCCGCTTCATCCGGGTCCTCGTCCTCGACGTCGGCACCAGCAGCCTCGTCCGGAAAAACTGCCTTTCTAATCCAATTTCTGACTCGGTGTACCAGGCTTCTAAATCTGCGTCTCCCTCGACATCCGAATTCATGTCACCACCTCTTTCCACGTCCTCGGTGGCCTCAGTTACATCTGCGTCCTCGCTAACCAGTCAAGTTAGTATACAACATATGTGAATCCAGACATGTTGTATATACAGCATAAA